TATATATATATATATATCCATATATATATACACACACAATAAATATGATATATATAAATATTTGATAAATTTTATCAATGAAATCAAAGCTTGTAACATAGGTTATCTCATCAAGTTTCAGCCAGTTTCAGTTAAGCCGCTCCACATATATCCTTATCCCTTTGGAACTTTTTCCTTACCCCGAATAAAAAGTAACACGTAACTCTAGTTATCATTGACTTTCCCGATTTGAATCAGCTAATTGATCTTAAGCTCAGCGAGTACTAACATAGGGTGGCTTTGTCTTATGTTTCGTAAATAAACTGAAAAAAAATACTTAAGGAATTTTGATCAATTTCAAACACTTTTACTCGAGTCAGAACTGAACACATGTTTTTGAAACTTAATAGTAGCATTTTCTAAAAATATAATAATTTTTTTTTTTTTTTTTTTTGCAAAAGCTAAAATTTCACATTTTGACATTAAAAATTTCAAAATTAATAACATTTTACTAAAGATTTACTTACGACTTTGACTTATAGATTCGATCATAAACTATTTCAATGTAGAAAAGGCATGAATTCATCATGTTGCTGCATGAAAGAGGTTTAAAATGACAAGTGCGAGGCTAACTCGCGCACCTAGGGTACCGTAGCATCAAATATTAAATTAATTATAACATTCAAAATTTATTAGTTTAAAATTAAAACAAAATATGTACCCATCTACAATATGAATTATTATGGAAAGTAAATATGTTTATATTTCATAGTACTTATACAAAAAGCAAAAACCAGGCATAGTATTTACTCGTGTTCAACGATATCACATAAGCTTACATTTATATACAACTAAAATTTTTTCATCCCTTCAGTTACATATTAATACTACTATTTTTCCTTAGATAGCTTGCTTTGAGCATGGTGGTTGTGACATAGGGATAGCCGGAAATAAGGAAACGAAATTATAACGGTTCCGATTTCGCTTTTCACCTACAGAACCTTAAAATAAAACCCCCATAGGGTAAAAGCCGGATAGTTGCCCATCTTTTTGAAAATCTCCAAGTACATAAAAAATAAGTATCTAGTTACAATATGCCCTGTGTATAATAAAACATTCGTCTTTAATCTTTCATTGTGACCTATTTTTTTAAACACAATTAATATTGTTTTTCAGTTAATCCTGTTTTATTTGACCTCTACAATATATATATATATATATACTTATATATATATATATATAAACTTATCTTACTATATAGTATAAGTTTATATAGCAACACCTTTAAAAACCTTTTTCTTTGTGATGTAGCTACAAATTTCCGGTGTTCTGATTTTTCCTTTGACTTGTGCTATAAGACATTGCTTCTTGCCAAATTTCATGATTCTAGGTCAATGTGAAGCACCCTATAGGCTTTGACTCCCTTGAGAATGTCAAAATATGAGGCGTAAACGGTCGTATCTTTTGATTACGTTGACTTAGAATTTTGATTTTTTCACAGTTTCAAGGGATAACAGACCTGAATATTCGATATTAATTTCAACTTAATACCGCCACGTGCTCCTAAGTAAAAAGTTCTTGACAAACAGACAAACAGTTAGACAGACAGATGGACGGACAACGGAGTGATCCTATAAAGGTTCATTTTTGTCTTTTGAGTTACGGAATCTTAAAAATGAGAGAGATTTAGAAAGACCAGGTCCGGTCACTTGTATAAGTTCTAAGGACAGATACATACGTATATATGTACTCTTAGTATACCTAGTCCATTTTGTATTTTCCACCAACAAAAAACAAGCTGTAAAGTAAATACAGCACAAAAGCAAAACGCCTCGTGACTAACGTTTGCATACTTAATTCCAACTCCTTTGATGTCCCGGAAATTTCTTTAGAGAACTGTTGTAATTAGTTATAAAAAATATATACGCGGTCTCTGAAAACAAATTTAAGAAGAATATAAATTAAAGCAAGTGTGCCAAGTTACTTTGTTATTTATTATTTTGTTACCTACAATGTAGACTAACTTTTCTTCTGAATTTTTAAGTTTTAGAAATAATTCTTATTATAAATGGTAAATAAACATATACCTGTCCCCCAAAGCATTTTTAACATAAGGCAACTATCCGCCACAGAGGGCAACTATCCCCTTTTGTAGAGGTCAAATAAAACAGGATTAACTGAAAAACAATATTAATTGTGTTTAAAAAAATAGGTCACAATGAAAGATTAAAGACTAATGTTTTATTATACACAGGGCATATTGTTACTAGATACTTATTCTTTATGTACTTGGAGATTTCTCATTTGCTTACCGATTGAAAAATATCAGTATATATTAAGCATAATAATGGGCTGCCTAGTGAAATATTGCTTTCTTAACAACTTGACATTTAATTTAAATGAAGTTAAAGACATGCCTACTTATAAAAGTCTACATTCTCAGTGGCAAGTCATATGATGCATCTAACATAACTCCTATGGAGTTTCATTAATTTTTTCTATAAACATCGTTAATACGTTATTAAATTTCGGCCTCGAGCCCTCAAAACGAAGGGAGCAAAATATAAACAGGATTACGATAGCGATAGATCATTTAATTTCAGCAATTTCGGTCAGAAATCAAGCGTTTCTTCACTGATTGAAAAGGTCGTGTCACTTAAAATGGCTTTATATTAACAAATTTTCTTATTGAAGACAATTTAAAATATCAGACGTAAGCCTTGAAGGAAATTTAAATTGATTGGGTTAGTACCTAATGTGTTAGTTATTTAATATTCAATTATATTTAAGTTATATTTTCAAATATACATAACTAGCTAGCTATGCCCCGATGTTTGTTTCACTCGCGTTAAATTTGTTTGATTTAAACATCAGTTTTACAATATTGCTGCCCTATTTGTTTTTCATTTATGATTACAGCTCCGCTCTCTTGGGTAGTAGAATGATAATATATAGCCTTCCTCAATAAATCCAAATTAAGCTCAATCAAGCCCGTCGAAATCTACATGTATAAGATCATCAATTTTCAAAACTCCCGGAAAGCTTTCCAGGTAAACTACCAAATGACAGGACTAATATACGAATAACCGATTCAACATCTAACATCCGCTCTAAACTGATTCAAGCGAACGTAATGGCCGTAGAATCGCGTAATATACTCAAAAATAATACTTCTCTCTCAAATCTTAATCGAGTAGTTCCTCTTTTTTGAAGTCGGTTAAACTATAGATCATTGAAAAACTACTTCGTTATGTGAAAACAAAACAAATAGACAAACGTTTGAAATTCCTACAGATTTTTTTATCTGATTAAATGTTTGTGTCTCCATGCGATAAGTCACCTATTGCTGCGTAATAGAAAGATAAATTAACAAACGAACGATTTTTATAAATTCATACAAAAAATATAATATATTGGAATAATTTACTCAATAAAAGAGCCTGTTTTTCATTTAGTAATATTTTTGAAAGATTGCCACTGACTTTATAAATATTTACAAAAAATAAGTCAGCTAATAATATAATACTTTCTTAGATTTACGCGAATATTTGACATTTTTAAATAAAACTATCTTTTCGGATAGAAAATGAAAATGATTCATTTTGTTAATTTTGGGTAGGCTGTCTGTAAGAACTATACCTTCAAGACATGTAACAACTCAGTCTCTCCCGTGACCATAAATACTGTAAAGCATTCGAAACGTCGGGAACCAAAAATCAAAATAAATCCGCGAAATAATCCGAAAAGATAGTTTTATTTAAAAACACCTAATAATACTAACTACAATACACCTATTTAGACTTACATTTAAAATTATAAAATGAATTGATTTCTTTTCGTTGAATCGTGTACTATAATTTACATTATATACAAATATATAGACATCAATCATACATAGAGGTTATTATATGACGTTATATATTATTATATATATATGACGTTATTTAACTGCCTCGGTGGTGTAGTGGCTAGCATGTACGGCTGCACATCCGGAGGTCCTGGGTTCGAGTCCCGGGTCGGGCCAAGTTTAGTTATTGAGTCTTTCTGTATAGTAAGTCTCAGTAACAGCCCGGAGTTGGGAAGTTGGCGGTGTTTCACCCCCGTGCCTCGGAGAGCACGTAAAGCCGTCGGTCCTGCGCCTTAACTCTCACCGGTCGTGTCGAGTGGTCGTCTCACCGGTGTATGAGAGTGATAGGAATAGAGAGTGCACTTGTGTCTGCGCGTACACTTGTGCACTATAACATCTCCTGCGCAGTTGGTTAATCTCAATGAGATTGGCCGCCGTAGCCGGAATCGGCTAGGAGAACATCATGACGACGCGTTTGGCTCAGTTTGTAGTAACCCTACTTGCAGTACCAGCGGTCACGGGTTCGAGTCCCGCTGGGGGCATTCATTTGTGTGATGAGCACGAATATTAGTACTCCAGTCATAGGTGTTTATATTTATAATATGTATGTATTTAAAGTTATATATGTGTCTACTATGTAATTAGTTTTAAGCACAACCTACTTAGACCCGTAAATAATATTGTAATAAAAATATTTCTTAGTTAGAATCTCTCATATTATGATCATAAAAATTTTAGCAGATACTAGTAAATTAAACTTTAACTTGACTTTGAAATCTCTTGAAGATTTATTTTTCAAATTTACGCTTGTTCATAATTAGTTATTGGTTAGTACAAAAATAGTCGATTTCAGAACCTCTTCCTTTTAAAGTCAGCTCAAAAATACCCAAAAAAAAACTAAAAAATAAAAACTTGACAATTCATTGAATGAAATATACTTATTGTCAATACGCTCATAGTCACGAATATCGAATCGTTTATATTTCAGCAAAAAACTAACAAAAACACTCCCATTTACAAAGTAAAATGTCACAGAAAATTATATATTTCTTAATTTACTTAACTTACAAAGCTTCTACTTCACAAAACACAACCAATCCAAACTTTACATTTACATATAAACAGCTAAAACTATTATAATTTAAGTATACACTAGATAGAACTCCGTGCGCTATGAGCAGTGAAGTATCTTCCTGAACGCCTTTCTGAACTCTGGATTGAAAATGGTGTAAATAACTGGGTTCAGGAATGAATTGATGTAACCCAGCCAAGTTGTTAGAATGAAGACAGTCACTCCCGGTGTATAGTCGAAGCCGAATTTAATGCATATAGCATCTAGTACTGAGCAAGTGAAGAATGGTGCCCAGCAGAAGAGAAATACGCCTGGAAAAAGTTGTTTTGCTAAATATATATACATAGTTATAAAAACTTGTATAAGTAGACACTAATAGATACACATATATCTCATATTTTTTATATACAATACATATATAGAAATTTGTGTATATATTTTTAAAGCTATTATGTTATGCTTTTGACAGTATTAAAAGACATAATTTTTTTACTACTTTAAGTATAAGAAAAAAATAATAAGCGTTGTTGTGTAGCAAATTTATGTGACGTTTAAATAATTAAAACTCTATAAAACTAATTTACAAAAATAATAAAAACATAAAACAACGTATAATGTGTTATTTTAAGGATATATGTACCCCTTTTTAGCGGCTTCATTTATTTATTTATCCATACATTTTACTTTAAAAAAACCGAAAAAATGTAATTTATCTATATATGTATATAAATTTTAGATATAAAACTTTGTTTTTGAATAGAAGAAAAAAAAACTCTCTTCTGTAAAGTACAAGTATTCAATTATTTATGACTACATGTAAGCTAACTTCTCTAACAATAATCCCATCAACTGTATTTCTAATAGATAGATGTAATTTCGTCCTGATAAGGGATTGATTTTTTACAAATTATACCAAAATAAAGTTAAAATTTTCTTACCGAGTACAATAGCTAGTGTTTGTGTAGCTTTTTTCTCTTTCTTAGCGAAGGACTTAGCCCGCAGTTTACCAGCTCTGTTCGCTCTGAATATAGTGAACCTTGCTGCAGATGCTGCACTCCTGAATCTCCGTCGAGGAGTTGAGATGAGTGAAGTGTTGCTTAGACGGCTTAGTTTCTTTCTGTACAGATAAAACATACGATTAAATTACTATTGCTTTTCTTATTCCTTAAGAAGTGCATAACTTCCACATTTTTTTGAGCTTTTAATTTCACTTCATCTGTAACTCATTATCTTTACCTGTAACTAACTGTAAAATCATTAATCTTATATTAAATTGCAGTAAGTAATCATTTGAAACTGTATAAATAACTGAAAAACAATAAATAATTGCGGTAAAAGACAATAAAATAATTTAATATCTTTGAGCTGATCTGCTTTCGAATACTTTACAGCAATCATGGTCACGGAAGAGACCTCCCTCTTCTTCGGACTTAGGTTTTAATACAAAAATCTTCTATTTCAAAATAAAAAATATACAGAATACCTTTTCAAAATTTAAAATTATAATTGAATTACCTTTATCTATTGATATTTGTTACGAAAATAACTTTAAAAGAAACTCTACACAGAAAGCTCGTCAGTAAATTGGCGAATGATTTTATAAAGAAATTCAATCTGCTTGGGTTAGAGCTATCCGACCGGATATATCCGGTCTGGACCGGATTTAGGGGTCTTAGGAACGTGATTCGGATTTTATCTGCTGTAACTTGTAAATAGTCTATTTATTTTCTTTTTAAACTAGTTAATGGCTCGGCTCTCTCGAAAGCTCATTACGAAAATCCCGACAAAAGCGAGGGTTGTAAAAGTTTCGAAGTTAAAATGTTGTAGTATATTCTCAAGGCAAGTTATAGTTATACTTGTCAACCCTAAAGCCGTTTCCCGATTGTCATATACAATTATGTATGGCATTCGGGAGCACCTAAATGTATCTCCAAATGCCCTGCACAATTTCCCTATCTAGATGCCTTCGTTAGCAGACTGTATGGATTAGTAGACTGTGGTACTACCAGTTGCCACTATCAGTCAGTCACTGATTCATTATAATCTGATCAAATAATTGTACGTAAAAGATAAAAATGTTGACAGCGCATATATCCTATACTGAAATAACCACTAAGATGCGAAGAAAAACCCTAAAAGAGTGAAAGAAAATAAAGCGCGCGGAAAAGTTTATGTAGGAGGTATTTTTTTCTGATATTTACTTCAAAGTTTTGTTATTAATATAATTTTTCCCATGTACCCTAATTTTAAAATAATACATGAATTGCATAAAAAAATATTTATAGTCGTTATTATTTTTATTTTAGTACTAGCGACTCACCCCTGCTCCGCTCGGGTTCGTCCCTAGGTACGTTTTAAAGTTTAGTATAGATTTCTCAGAGATGACATATTTTACCGCAGTACAAAGTATCCTATATGTTGAACCGGATAACCAGCTATATTCATACCAAATTTCGTGAAAATCTGTCCAGTGGTTTTGTCTGGATGCATTCCCAGACAAACAAAAATTTTAAAAACTCAGTTCAACTTTCAGCCTCTGTATCTATAATAATCTATTTCAATGAGATTTTCCAAAAAATACTTAATGTACAATTCGACTCAGAATTTTGTTATATGTATAGATTGATCCAAGAGCTATTAGAAAAACCTGTGAATTATAATACCTAATTATTTTAAAGCTAATTCTATGTACTATAAAGGCTATGAATATGTTACACGAGGAATAAATCTTAAGGGAATCGGATGTACAATATGAATTAACATAGGCAGTATCCAATTGGGAGTAATGTTACGAGTAACAAACATTTTCATCCCTTATTCCATAATAAGGGATGCAAATATTTGCTTACTACTTCCGACATTTCACCATCATGACGTGTTAATTTATAAAGTTTAAAATTGTGCTCACCATAAAAATGTAGTATCTCAAAAACAGGTCAAGTGCGAGTTGAATTAAATATGACGACAAATTTGGCTCAATTTGCTGTGCCAACGGTCGCGAGTTCGAGTCTCGCTGGGGGCATTCATTTGTGTGATGAGCACGAATGTTCGTACTCCGATTATGGGTGTTTATATTTATGTATATATGTATGTTTTTAAAGTTATATATGTGTAGATTAGGAACTATCTGGTGTCCATAACACAGGCCTCGTAGCTTACCATGGGACTAGATGGTGATATGTGTAAATGTCTCAACATAAAAAAAAAACGCTCACGAAGGGTTCCGTACCATCGTGCATGTACTTTTTATTAATTCATATTAATAAACTTTTAGTTTATGTATATAGTTTACGAACTTCGACGATTTTTTTTTATTATTTGTTGTTATAGCTGCAGTAGAAATACATACTGTGTGAAAATTTCAACTCTCTAACTATTACGGTTTATGAGACACTGCCCTCTGACAGACGGACGGGCGGACAGCGAAGGCTTAGTAATAGGGTTCCGTGGGCATCCTTCGGGTACGGAATCCTAAAAAGACGAAAAGCGAAATGCTGCAAGATTTTCTCTATCTCAAATCGTTTAATAAATGAACAACAAATACGTGATCTTTTTAAATGAACACGAGATCCTTTTTATTTCTTGGAAACTATCCAAACCCACTTAGCGTGTGTATTTAATGAGGGTACTTTTATTAAGCCCTGTTTATAAAGTTTTGTAAATATTTAATGGATACATTATACGTAAAGAAATATCTAAACGCGTATAATATGATTGCGATGAAGTCATTTGATGGGGTGAGGACGTTATTTCCGCTTCCGGGTGAACATTTAAGGAGGTTTGGTTTTTTAAAGAAACTACTTCAAAAAAATTTTATGTATGATTTTTCTTCATGATTTGTCTCGTAAAATGACTGGAAGGATGTACGCAGATAGACAGTTTATAAACACAACAGAAATAAAGTAGCACAAAGACTACTGTTTGTAATAAAATATGAAAGTGGTGTTCCCTGCATATTGTATTATAAATACAAAAGACAAGGAAACAAGCTTATAATATTTCTCATTTAAATATTTATAATACTTTGCTTGGCTTCAGGCCGTTGCACAACATTACCCTTTTGAGCCTTAGCTTAGAAGACAATACAATAAGTTCGCTAATTGCATTTACTATGACAATAAAGCTTTGTAAATAAATAAATTACATCTAAAAGCTCATATTTTATTTACATCATAAAATACTAGAACGAAAATCCACGATTGTGAGTTGGAATGTGATTAAATGTGTAAAGCTTTCTATAAAGCTCCTCATGCAACATGATAATTGATCGTACAGTATTAACGTCCGGATCCGATATACGAATTGTAAATTTTTAGTAATACTGGCTACAATATCTAGTTGTAGTTTCATACCGGTAATTAGGAAAATTCTAGTAATGATTAAACATATTAAGTATAATTAATTATTTATGTAAATTTTTCAATTTTATCGCTAATAGAATTCTAAGGAATGAACATATATGCATTACATTATCACGTGTTCAAAACATGTCATATTCACCGATTATTTTAGGACGGAGTAGAAATTTTTAATTTTGTTATTAATACTTATCAAAATTAATGAAATAAGACGACGATGTTCGAGCGTATTTGATCTGTGCATCTGTATCTTATCAAATATTTAATATCTCAAATAAAATATAAGATAATTTGATGCCATTTTTGTATTTATGGAAATCATTATACAAATTTTGTGGGTAGTTGCTATCTGTACCAAATGTATGGCCTTTGAGACCTCTAAAAGCTTAATCTCTCTCATGACTATGATTGCTGTAAAGCATTCGAAACCGCGTCGGGAACCAAAAATCAAAATAAATCCGCGAAAAAAATATATAATAAGATAGTTTTATTTAAAACTAGTATTGCCCGCGGTTCCGCCCGCGTTTAGATGACCAAAAACCAAATTCTTAGGTTTTACATATTAGTATACTGTTACATTGCAGTTTTTGTATTTTTTCTCAGAAATGAGACATTTTCCCGCGGTAAAAAGTATTCTATATGTTGACCCGGATAACCAGCTATCACTATACCAAATTTCATCAAAATCCGTCCAGTGGTTTTTCTGTGATGCGGTAACAGACAGACAGATAAAAATTCTAAAAACTATATATTCGGCCACTGTATCGATAATAATGTTTATTTCAATAAGATTTTCCAAAAAAAATCTAATGCACAAATTCAGCTTAGTTACAATTTTATTGTATGTATATATGTCAAATATTCGCGTATATCTAAGAAAGCATTATTTAACATCGCTAATATCAAATATCTAATGGTTTGTGATTAATTAGAAGTAGTCATACGACTTATACAAGAGTCGCGACCAATTGCTTTGAATAAATAAAACTGTAACATGTATATATTACAAATGTATTTAAATGAAAAATTACATTTAAAATTCATTAAACTTTTAAGTAGAACTTTATATGAAAATTTAAAATCCTCCATGCGTATACAGTTCAGGGCGCTAATTTACATGTTTATTTGCTTTAAATAACTTTGCATAATAAATAACTTTAACGTATAAAATTAAAATGCGTATATATGAATTTTCTTACATAATATATGCTACCCGCGGAGACGGTATATGCGTTTGTGGTAAGATTTGCTTGTGTGTCTGTTGCCATGTTTCTCGGAAACGGCTAGACCGATTTTGAAAAGTTTTTTTGCTTTGTATAAGTCTCTCCTGATCATGTTCTTAGCTAAGTTTTATGATTAACTATACATATGGTTCTCCAAAACGGTTATTTTATTTAAATAAATGTATTATACTATACTACAATACTAATAAAATTTAAAACATCCACAAATAAAACATGAATTAAAATTTTAAAAACCCTTGACGGAAAATTCATTACGTAACCCATAATAATCAACAATAAAGCTATTGGCACATACTACTAATATGTACAGTCTACAACATAAGTTACGCACGACGAATATTATTATTAATATTCTATATTACGCTTTAATGTCGTGGGTATTTGAAATTTTTTATTTAATTTTTTTTTAATTATTTACGTATTTTTAGTTGAAAATGAGACTTTTCATTCAATCACAAAAGTCAATATACTAGTAACTTATCCACACTTCGCTCGGGTGTGCTCCTAGGTACGTG